TCGTTGATCGTGCTGGTATTGAGATAGTTGATGACAAATCCTATTTTTTGGAGCGAAGTAGATTAATTCAGTGTTGTTTGGGTGTAGTTAATAAAGCTCTTACAAGTGAAGAAGCAAAGAAAATTTTGATCGATTCCTTGTGTAGTGCAGAAGAGAAAATTAATTTATTGCTTGGTTCGTCTAGAAAGGAAAATAAAACCAGTGGTACTAGTGGCAAAAGAATAAGGGAAGTCGTTGATAATGTTGCAGATGTAGAAATGGGAAAGGAAATAAATTGCGAGGAGGTTGCTACTTATCGTGAACCAAATAAAGTAAGAGCAAAAGGATGTGGTAAAAGGATAAAGGGTGGAAAAGAGAAGGCAGTAGGGAATAGAGTGAAAGGAAGATTATGTACGGGATGTGGTGAGCGAGGAGTAGGTCATGATTCAAGAACTTGTCCAAGAGTTGTAGGTGTTTCAGTTTCGCAACCGTGAGATATATGAGGTGTTTTTTTTTTCTTCTGAAACTAGAATATAATATATCAAGGATTCATGGTTCTTGTTTTATGATTTTGATTTAGTTGTGGAATAAAATACTAATACAGTTTTGCTTGTATATGTTTTATTTTTTTAGCTTATTTGAGTGCTTTGAATTTTAATATTGTAATACGACATAGTGCCTTTTGAATAGAAATAAATATGTCTAAAAATAATTATACAAAGCAAATAGGGATCATGATGGACTTGAACCACCATCTTTTGAGATGTAGTAGTGCGCAACAATTCTCAAGTGCTCTACCATTTGAGCTAATGATCCATTGGGAGAAGGGCAATTCTCATCATATGGCTACTAAGTACTGAAACATGTACAGATTATAATGCAAACCAAACATGGACAAATACATGTCCTATAACAATCTTATTTACGAGAAGGGCAACATAATATAAGAATTTATATTACTGCATAGGCACATAGGCACATAGACATGTCTACAGAAAGACCACACAGTAACGTATCTGCAGAAATCTATAATCAAGGTATATAATGAAACAGGTAATTTCTAATTAACTAGAAATCAGAAAATGCAATACATGAATAGATGCACTCTATGGTTTATGAGTGATGACCGATTCAAGCAGCGCAACAAAATCGCACAAACCAAAAATATCACTTAGAATTATTTCAACAGTTTTACATATACCTAATTGTAATCCAATTAAAAAATGAAACCGAAGCTTGATGATACCATCAGATGAACACCAACCTTTGCTAGGAGAGAACGACTGAAGATTTTGCTATCAGCATGTTGAGCATTGCATAGCCAGATATGTTCACCGGTCGCAAATGCTCTTCTTGGCAACCTGTTAAACCATAAGTGATGTTTGTAACACTGCAGTCTTGTGTAAAAAACTGAAACCAAGTATATATAATTAAGATAACAATATGAAACTTACCACAGCATGTGGCATAGGTTGAAAAGCTGACCATGACGATAGAGATGAGCGGGTCTTGACAACAGGGTCTTTCTAGAAGATCCTCAAAGTAATATTTGATATTGATAACTTAATGTTTTCAATAGAGTCGTTAGGCTTGTTTAATTAAAATCATCTTCTAAAATATTCATCTATGATAACATCATGTTATTAGTATAGTGAGTGTAGGTTTGTTAACTGTGATAACATCATGTCAATATGGTATCACCTTGTCAGTGAAAAATAGTATTCTTTTTGTGATAACATAATGTCAGAATGTTATCACTATGTTAGAGAAACATATAGTACTCACCTTGTCAGTGAAAAATAGTATTCTTTTTGTGATAACATAATGTCAGAATGTTATCACTATGTTAGAGAAACATATATATAGTACTCTCATTAAGTGATAACATTATATTATCAGTAGAGTCAGTGTAATTTGTTTGATACGAACCACTAAAGTTTCTCTATTTAATGAGGTTTCACATCTGTGTATTCAGGTTAGACAGGAAATGGGTAATATTTCCAACGTGGGAAAAAAATTTTGGATGTTGGTGATAACATTTTATTACTCTAGCAAGAAAGCATATCAATGTTATTAGAACCAATTAGAGAAGAACAAAACATGATGTTGTTGGAGTATTCGAGTACTAATGAAAGAATGGAGGAACTACTCGAGGATTACAATGATTTGAAGGACAACACATAATTTTTTCAAGATGAAAACAACAACTTGAAAAGGGATCTACAAGCAAAGGATCAGAAAATGGAAAACAAAAAGGAAGATATATAAAATCTCAAGTTAATTTGGAAAAACCTTCTAAAACAGAATGAAGATTTGAAGAAATTTTTTCAAGAAGAGAATAAACACCTTTTAAGATGGAAGTGGAAGAACTTAAAAATGAAAATGCTGAGATGCAGAAACAGGTAAATGAACACTTGTAGCTCATATTAAATGATAAATGTAATAAGTTATTAGTATGTTAACATTAACGTGTAACTTCTGCTCACTTGATCCCACAAGTAGATCTACAAGCAAAGGATCACGAAAAGGAGAAAAAATAAAGATTTAGAAATTATAAAGGTAAATGAACACTTGTAACTCATATTAAATGATGAATGTAATAAATTATCAGTATTTTATCATTAATGTATAATTTTTGTTATGACTTCTGCTCACTTGATCCCACAGGTAGATTTACAAGCAAATGATCAGGAATTGGAGAAAAAGAAAGAAGATATTGAAATTCTAAAGTTAAATGAACACTTGTAACTCATATTAAATGATAACATATTTTCACAATGTTATCACATTGTCAAAAAAAAATCAACTACAATCAGTTGTGATAACACCTTGTCAGAATGTTATCATCTTGTCAGAATGTTATCCCCTTGTCTGAATGTTCTCACTATTGTGTAATTTTTATTATAACTTTTGTTCACTTGATGCCACGGGTAGATAATGAAGACCTTAAGAAGAGTGTGGAAGAGCTTCAATAAGAAATGGAATACTGGAAGCAAAAACATAACAACTAAGATTCGAATGGTTTATGTTTGAATAGTCAAATCCTAGAACATGAAAACACAATAGATTTACTCAAAGACAATTACAGAATTTCAAAACAAAAATGAAGAATTGTTGAAATAGGTAAATGAAAATCTAAGTTCATTAATAAGAAAATACTGTTAATTTTATGAATGTTATATCTTCTTTACACTTATTTCCAGGTAGAGGCAATCACTTTGCAAGAGATATCTAGGCCCAAAGAAAATGCACACAGAAAATAAAATAAAAGAAAGTCAGTAATGATGGATTTTCATAAGACAAAGATAAAAAACCAAAAGAA